GGCGCCAGCACAGTTTGTGGTACTGACGCCCTCGCGTCCTTCAAGTCGGCGATTTCTCTGCGAAGGTGATAAGTGTGAAAACATGGCACTCATCACTGCAAGAAATAAATATACGGCATTTTTAAGGAAAACTTTGCGACGGTAAAAGAGACAAGCAAACGCGACATTTCCTGTACCTTTACGATGCCTATACTGTATGGGGCAGATGTCTCCCGGTCGGCGGAAAGCTTGTTTATAGAAGGAGGAAAGGAACCGTAATACATTTTGTACTTTAATTTTGAAAAGCCAGATATAAAAGGACTAGGCCTGATTGTGTTGCATTTCCCGCTCTCGTAAAACATGGCACTCATCACTACAAGCAACAAATATTCGTCATTTATAAGGAAAACTTTGCGACGGTAAAAGAGACAAGGAAACGCATCATTTCCTGTAGCTTGACGGCGACTATACTGTATGGGCAGATGTCTCCCGGTCGGCGGAAAGCTTGTTTATAGAACGAGGAAAGGAACCGTATGTTTTGGAAAGCCAGACATAAACATAGAAATTAGTAGGCATAATAATGGTGGGAAAATGTCTGGCAGTCATTTCTGTTAATTAGCACTACCGGGCTAACTTCTGTGGTCTGGCGCCGGGCCCCACGTGGACCCGGGCTAGCCGGCGCCCCGCTCACAATCGCCCAGCTCGGGGCTTGTGTGCGGACGTCTCCGGTTCCGCTTCTCTTTTCGCTTTTCTTTTGCAGCGAAATTATGGAAGATATCTAATATTTCAGGTAAAAACAAAGATGGAAAAGCATATAAAATGCTTATGTTTAGTCTCGCAAGGTTGGTAAGGACTTTATCCATAATAATCAAAAAGATCGTGTGGCTTTGAGATGCCTCTAGTTAACTCATTACCGCAATGCTTTCTTTACATTATCATGTCCATGTAAAGCTTACGGAAAGAAACACGTTATATTAACGTGACATTTACACATGTGGAAAGGTTACGGAAAGGCCATATTTCCCTTTCGGTTTATTGTTTATTGTTTATTGTCCTTTCGCACATAAAAAAAGTAATGGTATAAAAAGAAATTATGTACAATCAAATACATGCAGGAGAGCCCAAGAAACCAGGAGGTTTATCTAGTGGGCTCTCCCAAATCCTGTTGATGATCTCATATTTACAACATTATTTACGTTAACAATTAACATGCATGTCTTAAGGGACAAACAAGAGAAAATTAACTCAAACAAGATAATATAAAGTTAACACGGCAAACTAAATATCTAAACAATAAAGTAAGACAATCAAAAACATATCGTATTCAACAAAAAATACATTTCCATTAGTCAAATCATAAGTT